ACAATTTCCCACAATGCAATGTAGTCAGAAGTCCAGAGATTCTGTCTACAGTTAATCGACAAAGAAATGTGTTTGAAGGTTTCGACACAATTTTCCTCTTGTTGCTTTTTTACGAGGAAGACGGTCTTTGTGATATCCCCCATGCAAATCTCATCTGTCCCACAGAACGCATCCCAGTGTCCCGTTTCCCAAAGTCAACTCAAACGTGTGATGGCACTCTGCTCCTCCCACCCCTTCCCTGTGACCGTTTGTTGTTCTTGGTGCCGTCAAGGTGATAGCCACTCATGGTGACCCCATGGAACAGAGTAAAACTCCTGTAGGGTTTCCTGGGCTGCTTTGAGGAAACAGATCTCCAGGTCTGTCTCCTGCAGAGCCTCTGGTGAGTTCGAACCACCGACCTTTGGGTTAGCAGCTGTGTGTTTAAATGTTGCACCACCAGGTCTCCTTTAACCGTTGGTTAGTTACTGAGTTATGTCATCCATTACATTCTGACTTGCATGATCATGCTTGGTGTAGTCTTGTTATCATCTGATTCAAATATTAACCATACTGAAGAGACTGACTATTATAAAAAGAGATGATTAGAGACATTATGGCCTGATCATAAGAGAGACTCTTAAGAATATTATCGGACTATGATGTTATTTTGTAAGAATGAGCGAGCATCACTGGTCCGTGGTTCATTGTGTAGTACTGGGGTCCTAAAGCTGGTGAACAGCCATCCAAGATACAACAATTGGTCTCTAATCATCTATTCTTCTTCAGCAGAAGAGCAGAGTCAGGAATAAGAGGAGGAAGTGGAATGTGTGGCTAATGGCCTCCATGAACAACTGCCTCCTTTGCCATGAGACCAGAAGAACTAGATGGTTCTAGTGCCCTGCCACCATTATGGAACATTTTGATCAAAGATTCTGTAGATGAAGTGTGATCAAAAGGGGGGAACTGTAGGACAGAACATCAGATCCTTATGGAAACCAGACTTACTGGATCCATTAAGACTGGAGAAACTCCCAAATCAATTGTGCAGAAATAATCTTCAGTCCGTGAACTGAAATGATCCCATAAAGTAAAGAAAACAGCTGATTAGATCAATAAAGAACGTTGGCTTTGACGGTTTTGCTCTTGTAAAGAATTGTCTACATGTGAGCACATTGACAACAGTGACTCTAAAGCACAGATGAGAACGTTATGGGGCAGAGAGTGCAAAGCTAATGGTGGGAAACAGTACAAGTGTGGCGAATGAGAGCAGTGACGCAAGGTGGAGTGTAACCAGTGGCATCCGTCCGCACATGCAGAAGTTGTTGAATGGGCGAATGATGTGTTGTGTATATTTTCACTAAAAAAAAATTTATAAAGTGACTCCTAGGCCATGGGACTTGTTCCTTTTGCCAATTCCAGGTACCACACCACAGTCAGTTAGCAGTGTCATTTGTGGTCCCTTCTTTTTTTTTTCTTTTTTTAATTGTGATTTGGGTGAACATTTACAGAGCAAATTCACTTTCCATACAGCAGTTCACATACACTTTGTCTCATGACGTTGACTACAGTCTCCCACAATGCAAAGCTTCTCTCACATTTCCTCCCCATAGTTACCTCTTCCCTGTGTCCATCCCTCCATGCACTCCTGCCCCCTGAGCTGTCTCCCTGTGTACACACAGGCCTTCTGTTCTCCCATGATTGTTCCCTCCAAGGAGTGTATCTACCTAATGTTCAGCTCATATGCCTGTCTGTTGTTTGGCTGGAAGCCACAGGTGTGGGTTCAGTTCCAGACCTGAAGGGCAGCTAGGGGCCATAGTCTCAGTGGTTCCACCATGCTCTGTCAGACCAGCAAACCTGGTCCCTCTTTTTTTTTTTTTTTTTTTTAATGATTTTGGGTTTTGTTCCACATTGTTCTCCCACACTGTCCAGGATCTCCTACTGTCCAGATCCTCCTCTGAGTGGTTGACGGTGGTAGCTGGGCACCATCTAGTTCTTCTGGTCTCATGGTTGTATAGACTAAGGACTGCGTGATGTACCAGTTGCTTGGCTGTTGGTGGTCCTTCTTGTGTCTCTGGAATTCCTTGGTTAAGTAAGCCATGGTGGCACAGTGGTTAAGTGCTCAGCTGCTGACCAATGGGTTGACCGTTGGAACCCACCAGCAGCTCCACAGGAGGAAGACCTGGCGGTGTGCTTCCCTAAAGATGGTGGCCAAGGGAGCCTGGGGGCATCTCTCCTCCATCACATGTGCTTGCTGTGAGTCGGAATTGACTCACCGACACCTAGTGATGACAGGACAGTAATCCCCAACATTGACCAAAATAACCCTCCACAGTGTGAGTGCTTTCAATAAAGTGGCCTGGAGCGTCACATCCTGAGATACGTACCATCCTCCTCAAACTCCTTGAAGCTGGCTTTCTCCCAGTTTATCTAATGTCATTACAGCCATCACAGTTCCCTCTGCCTCTCGTCTCTGGTGTCCTGTCTTTGGCTTACACGTGGCTGCCAGGGCGGCATTCCTGCCTAGAGCCACTGGTCCTGAAGTCACAGGCCCTTAGTACTTGGCCTCACTTCACTATCATAGGTCTGCAGCCACACCTTGGAGGTAAGATGCATTCGGCTCCAAACCACCACTGTAGAGTGAATATCACAATAAAGTGAAGAACGTGCATTTGTTGGTTTCCCAGTGCCTGTCAAAGTTCTAGGAGCTCTAGTGGTGTCATGCCTAAGGCACTTGACTGCTAACCAGAAGGCTGGCGGTTCAAACCCACCAGCCACTCCTCAGAAGGAAGGTTGGGCAATCTACTTCCATAGTGATACCGCCTCAGAAACTCAAGGAGGGGTTGCTATGCGTTGGGTCCAACTCGATGGCAGTGAGTTTGCTTTTTTTATTTTTGTTTTTAAAAGTTCTACTTACACTGGACTGTGGTCTATGACACATGCAATAGCATAATGGAAATATTGTGAGAGTGACCAGAATGGGACCCAGAGACACAACGTGAGAACACACTGTGGGAAATAGGCTCGCTCACGGCCAGGTTGCCACCAACCTTCAATGGGTGAAAAAACACGGTATCTGTGAAGAGGAATGAAGTGGAGTGCAGTCAGACAAGGGATGGTCTGTGAGAACTCCCAGACCCAGAAACGCGGAAGCCTCTCTCAGCAGGGCTGCCGCAGATAAGCCAGGATTCCCTAAGGAACAGGCAAAAATGGCCTGAAGAATGCGGCCGCCTGGCTTGACCAGAGAGAGACTTGTCCTGACCAGCGCAGATGTCGGCTGTTCTCCCGTTTCAGTGGCGTGTGCTTGGAAGCCTGTGGAGGATGTCTGTGGTTTCCCAGATGGTGTACGCAGTGCCCCAGACATGGGGTTTGACAGGAGATTCTTTCCTAGAATTACTCGTGATGTGAGCTTGACCTTCCCACCTACATCTTTTTATAAACATCTTCCTTCTAATCCCATGTACAGGAACCACTTCTAGCAGCAACACGGTGGTTGCCGGCCAGGACGGCTTCCCAGATGCCGAGGAGAGCAAGATAATGAAAGAATCTGATGAGAGGTTGGTGCGCAAAATTGGCATAATGGTCAGGATTAAAATATTTTTATGCAAACAATACACCTTTTAATTTTTATTTTAGCCACACCATCCTGATTAGTTGCTATTTGAAAAAAAAAAAAAATAGCATACAGTGCTTTTGAAAATACTTGGGGTGGGGAGGATGCAATTGGCCAAAAAAGCATAGAGCCCATGTGCTATTTGTGTAAAAATGTAAAACTTGCCCTCATAGTCTATACAAGGCATCAGGTAAGAATTGGTGAAGTTTTCATCAATTTCACATGCACACAGTAAAATCCTTCTTTGTTTTTAGAAATGTAGGCAGCATTTTGTGTATCCCTGAAAATCATGATTTCTTCCTGAGCAGAGTCCAAGAAAGAAGCCCTGATGGCACAACCATTAAGCACTCAGTTGCTAACTGAGTGGATCGAACCCACCCAGGGGCTCTAGAGAGGAAAGCCAGTGATCTGGTCCTGTAAAGATGACAACCTAGAAAACACTGTGGGGCAGTTCTGCTCGGTCACTTGGGTGCACTGTGGGTCAGAACGGACTCAGTGGCACCCACAACAACAACAACGTCAGAGGAGAGAAAGAGAGGCCTGGTCTGGTGGCCGAGTTGGACTTTCCCAGGGCTTCATGAAAACACTCACCAGTTATTCTGCTACTAAAGCAAAACCAAACCTACTGCCATCAAGTTGATTCCGACTCATAGTGACCCCCATTGGGTTTCCAAGAATGTCAGTCTTTATGGAAGTAGATTGCCTCGTCTTCCATCTACGGAGTGGCTGGTGGGTTTGAACCACCAACTATCTGGTTAGCAATCAAATGGCTTAACCACAGCGCCACCAGGCTCCTTTTTCTGCTGCTACATATGGTCATTTAGAAGCAGAGGGAGTTTCCATGTGAAATTTTCAAATCTGACCATGAATAAATGTCGTTGCGATAGAGGAGTGTGTGGAGGTGAGCGTCGTGAAGCATCACTGTTCTTTTTGTTCACTTTTTAACCAAAGAGAAGCAAACCCACTGCCGTTGAGTCGATTCCAACCCACGGCAATCCTGTAAGACAGAGTTGAACTGTCTCATGGGGTTTGGAAGGCTGTAATCTCTATGGAAGCAAACTGCATCATCTTTCTCCCACAGAGTGGCTGGCTGAGCACTTAACCACTGCACCACCCGGGATCCCCGTGTTTGCTTTTACTTTGCCTCTATTCCATTCACCAAGAATACCATCATTTCCTGCAAATAAAAAAATAAGTCTCCATTGCTGCATACTACCTTTTTTCTTTTCGCAATAATGTGGAATGCCTGCCCACAAGTTTTGTTTTGTTTTTGTTTCATTTTTGGTGAAAATATATACAGCCAGACGCCATTTGAACAGTTTCTTCACATACAGTTCAGTGACATTGATTCTGTTCTTCAGGTTGGCAGATGGTCTCACCATCCTTCTCCCAATTGTTCTATCACCACTGACTTAGACTCACTGCCCCCTGAGCTTCCTACCTACCTTGCATGTTGCTGTTGTCAAATTGATCCCACAGAGATAACTCTTAAGATGGCCCAATGTTCACTGTAGGCATTCTTTACTTATTATGATAAACTATTTTTTGGTTTAAAGAAGACTTCACAAGATAGCTTTGGTTTAAGGTGTAAAGATGATCCAGGACACACATTAGCTCTTTAATGACAGTATTTCTCTTGCCTACATTTCTACCTTCTCATCAGTATTTCAAACCTGGATTACCACTGCCTGATTACCACTGATGTGAAGAGTAAGGAGATAACTTGGACAGATAATCCCAAACCCACTGCTGTGGAGTGGATACCAACTCACAGCACCGCTAAAGGACCAAGTGGGACTGCCCCACAGAGTTTCCTAGGCTGTCAATCTGTACAGAAGCAAAGCCCAGACCAAACCCCCTGCTGTGGAATCAATTCCGACTCAACATGCCCCTAGAGAACAAACTGGAACTGCACCATAGGATTTCCAAGGCTGTAACCTTTTCAAGAGCTATCCAGAAATACCAGATGGCTGGCAGTTCAAACCCATCAGCCACTCCTTGGAAGGAAGGTTGGGCAATCCTACTTCCGTAGTGATACTGCCTCGGAAACCCAAGGAGGGGTCGCTATGAGTCAGGGCTGACTAGACAGCACATAACAACAACAACAACATCCTGAAATACAGTGCTGTCAGTGATAGGATAATATCCGTGCACTGACAAGGAAGACCAGTTAATACAACTATTACTCAAATTTACGCACGAACCACCAAAGCCAAAAATGAGGAAATTGAAGATTTTTACCAACTTCTGTAGTCTGAAGTTGAACAAACATGCAATCTAGATGTATTGATTATTACTGGTGATTGGAATATGAAATTTGAAAACAAAGAAGAATTACCGGTAGTTGGAAAATATGGACTTGCTGATAGAAATGATGCCGGAGATCACATGATAGAATTTTGCAAGACCAGTGACTTATTTATTGCAAATCCCTTTCTTCAGCAACATAAGTGGTGCCTATACACATGGACCTTGCCAGACGGAATACACAGGAATCAGATCAAGTACATCTGTGGAAAGAGGTGATGGAGAAGCTCAATATCTTCACCCAAAACAAGGCCAGGAGCTCACTGTGGAACAGACCATCAGCTGCTCATATTCAACTTCAAGCTGAAGCTGAAGAAAATTAAAATAAGTCCACAAGAGCCAAAACATGACTTTGATTTTATCCCAACTGAATTTGGAGACCATCTGAAGAACAGATTTGATGCATTGAACATCAGTGACTGAAAACCAGATGAACTGTGGGATGACATCAAGAACATCACACATGAAGAAACCAAAAGGTCATTAAAAAGACAGGAAAGGAAAAAAAAGACCAAATGGATGTCAGAAGAAACTCTGAAACTCGCCCTTGAATGAAGCGTAGCTAAAGCAAATGGAAGAAATGACAAGATAAAAGAGCTGAACAGAAGATTTCAAACAGCGCAGCTTCAGAAGACACGGTCAGTTATAATGAAATGTGCAAAGACATGGAGTTAGAAAACCAAAAGGGAACATCATGCTCAGCATTTCTCAAGCTGAAAGAAGAGAAGAAAATATTCAAGTCTCAAGTTGCAATATTGAAAGATTAAATGATGAATTCAAAATACTGAATGATACAGGAAGCATCAAAAGAATATGGAAGGAACACATAGAGTCACTGTACCAAAAAAAGTTGGTCAATGTCCATCCATTTCAGGAGATGGCATATAATCAAGAACCAATGGTATTGAAGGAAGAAGTCGAAGCTGCGCTGAAGGAATTGAAGAAAAACGAGGCTCCAGGAATTGAAATGTTTCAACATGCAGATGCTGCTCTGGAGGCACTTACTCATCTATGCCAAGAAATTTGGAGGACAAGCTACCTGGCCAACTGACTGAATGACTCAAAGAGAGCCATATTTGTATCCATTCCAAAGAAAGGTGATTCCACAGAATGTGGAAATTATCAAACAATATCATTATTATCCCACGCAAGTAAAATTTTACTGAAGATAATTCAAAAACAGTTGCAAAACATGCAAGCTGAATTCAGAAGAGGACATGAAACGAGGGATATCATAGCTGATGTCAGATGGATCTTGGCTGAAACAAAGAATACCAGAAAGATGTCTACTTGTGTTTTACTGACTATGCAAAAGCATTCGATTCTGTGGATCATAACAAATATGGATACCATTGAGAAGAATGGGAATTCCAGAACACATGATTGTACTCATGAAGAACCTGTACATAGACCAGAAGTCTGTCATTCAGACAGAACAAGGGGATACTACATGGTTTAAAATCAGGAAGGGAGTGTGTCAGGGTTGTATCCTTTCACCAGACTTATACAGTCTGTATACTGAGCAGGAAATCTGAGAAACTGGACTATATGAAGAAGAACATGGCATCAGGCTTAGAGAAAGACTCATTAACAACCTGTGATATGCAGATGATACAACCTTGCTCGCTGAAAGTGAAGATGACTTCAAGCACTTACTGATGAAAATTAAAGACTACAGTCTGCAGTATGGATTATACCTCAACATAAAGAAAATTAAAATCCTCACAGTTGGACCAATAAACAGCATCACGATAAATGGAGAAAAAGACTGAAGTTGTCAAAGATTTCCTATTACTTGCTTTCCCCATAAACACCAGTGGAAGCAGCAGCCAAGACATCCGACAACATGCCGCACTGGGCCAATGTGCTACAAAAGACCTCTTGAAAACGCTCAAGAGCAAGGATGTCACTTTGAAAAACTAAGGTGTGCCTAACTAAAGCTATGGTATTCTCAGTCTCCTCGTATGCATGTGAGAGGTGGACAGTGAGTAAGGAGGACCGAGGAAGAGTTGATGCTTTTGAGCTGTGATGCTGGCGAAGAATGCTGAGAGTACCATGGACTGCTGAAAGAACTAATGAATCTGTCCCGAAGGAAGTGCAGCCAGAATGCGCCTGAGAAGCAAGAATGGCCAGGCTTCATGTCACCTACTTTGGTCATGTTGTCAGAAGAAACCATTCCCTGGAGAAGGATGTCATGCTTGGTAAGGTGGCGGGTCGACGGAAGAGGGGAAGACCCTCAACGAGATAGATTGTCACAATGGCTGCAATGATGGGCTCAGGTATAACAAGGATGTGAGTATGGTGCAGGACCAGGCAGTGTTTCATTCTGTTGTGCATAGGGTTGCTATGAATCAGAGCCGACTCAATGGCACCTAACAACAACAAAAGTCTTTACAGAAGCAAGGCCCAAACCACACCCACTGCTATGGAGTTGATTTAGACCCACAGTGCCCCTAGAGGACAGAGTGGAACTGCTCACAGGGTTTCCAAGGCTGTCAATCTTCACAGAAGCAAAGCCCAAACCACACCCACTGCCGTGGAGTCCATTCTGACCCACAGCGCCCCTAGAGGACAG